TACAAAACGCATTTAAACTCCGAAAACACTTCAAATCAAAGGGGAACATGTGCTTAAAATAAATAGATGTGAAACAGCTCGATAATACTGAAAACTGTTAGCATGCTAGAGTGAGCTGTGTTAGCATAAAGTGGAAATAATAATACATTTTTTAAAAAAGCTATTAAAACACCTCTCCGGATTTCTCCCGTCAAAAAACACGAAATCGCCGTTCTGAATGCAGCGGGCGCAGGTCAGTCTGCGTCTGGCCGTGTTGCAGAGCGGACATCTCTCCACGGCTACAAAGAGCCCCTCTGCATCATCCAGAGCCTCCACCATGACCGCGGCAGCAGCGCTCACGCACGCCGGCTGAAGGTGCTGCTGAGGCGGCTGGGGTCGAACGGACGTTAGGGCCTCTGATCCAATCTCTGGATGCTCTTCACCAGGCCCCAAGGCCCGGGGTTCGCCTGATAAGGAACAAGCCATGACGATACAGGCTCTATAAAGAATAGACGCCTCTTAGAAACGGTCAATATTAGATTAACATTATCTGTAATGTTAAAATATAACCAGAAGTTCTGGTCCTAAGGTCTCTATGCCCAGATGAGTGTAATGGCTGTCTGCCCTACGCACTGTGTCGTTTGTTTGTGTATGTTTGTCACGTGTGTGGTGGTGGCGTCTCTTACAAAAATTTACCATGGTAACCATACTTGAATCTAAAATATCATAGTAAGACAATATATTTTGCCATTGGAAAATCAAATATGGGCCCCCTTCGTTTGGTGTAAGTTTTTGATTCTTGGATTTATTTATACTGCATAAATATAGTATAATTATGAAAACAGTAAAAAATAAAAAATATTTCTGTTGTAAATAAAGATCATTGGAGTACATTTCACAAGACGTATGTATAAAGGAAATAAAGCTTTATTTAATTTGACTGGTTCTGCAAGAGAGAAGTCTTCAACGTGTATTTACCTGCATCAGCAGGTAGCAGTTCAACATGTACAAAAGGGACAAAACATAGATGTAACCTAAGCGGACATGTCTGCATGTGAGAGCTTGTGAATATTTTAACAAGACATTTACTTTTCACAGTACGCTTTGAAATGCTCTGTTATTTCAGCAACCCTCGCTAATGTAGATAATACATAAAGTAAACATAGACATTAAGCAAAGTGCAATAACAAAACTTTTGATTAAATTATAGCATTCAAACCTTTCAAGGGTCACTCATAAATGGATACGAGGCACATCTTTATAGACAAATATTCAGATGCAGCTCATGTAAGCAAAAGTGCAGCATTTCTACTGCTTCCTGATGGGGTAAACACTTTGAGGATAGGGTAAATATTTTCAAAGGCTTCATAGATCTCTGACCGTTCTTTCGCACCTAAAAATCATAATATCATGAAGAGAACGGGTTTTAAAAACAATTTCAATGCATGGCTGCCAAATATAATTTTTTTTAAAGATTGGACTTGGAATAGTTCCCCCACAAACATGCAGCTTTTCACTTCACAAGATGTTAATTGATGTACTAGAGTCGTGTGGATTATTGTGATGTTTTTATCAGCTGTTTGGACTCTCATTCTGACGGCACCCATTCACTGCAGAGGATCCATTGGTGAGCAAGTGATGGAATGCTACATTTCTCCAAATCTGTTCTGATGAAGAAACAAACTCTTGTATGGCCTGAGGGTGAGTCAATTTTCAGCTAATTTTCATTTTTGGGTGAGCTATTCCTTTAAGATTGGACTATGTGAGATTAGACTATACTATATACCAACTATACCTGTGAGGACAACTTTTCCAGACACAGCAGCACAATACGCAGCACAATACGTGGCTTCACCATGCGATATATCAATCCAGGAAACAGCTCTGGCTCATAGCTGGAGGTAGTAAAATGGTTAAAGACAGATGTTACAAGGTCACGTATATTGTGGGCCAGTAACCATCAAAGTCATTGATGACAGACAGATGCCTGTCCAGACCTGCTGAACTGCTGGTGAGTGAGGACCAGGCCTTCTAAGCGTATAGGAAAGCAGACGTCACAACTTCCAACCATGTTTTGGATTTTGAAGTCAAGGAATTTGGCAGGGAAACCAAGTTTCTGTACCACCCGGGCATATTTCCGTGCAGCAAGGCGAGATTGCTCCTCACTGCTTGGAAAGATAAACAAAGGAAAAGGCAAATATGGGGTAAAAGACACATGTGAGACTATTTCTGAGTTACATTTATCTGTTTTACAGTTGTGCTACCGTAATGCATTATGGTCAGAATTCTGAATATATATTATGTATACCTCTTGGCTCCAGTGCAGACCATTTTTCCAGAGCTAAATATGAGAACAGTAGTTCTTGGTTCATGGATCCTCATTATAACCGCAGCTATAGGCAAAGTTTGGAGTTATGCTACTGAAAAGACTGAAAAATGAAACCTGAAACACTTTAAATTAAAGGAACAGGTCACCCAAAAATAGAAATTCTGTCATTTATTTTTACTCATCCTTATGTCAACAGCATACAGAGTATTCCTTTAAAAAAGCTATGTAAATGTGCATCTTGTCTATGATTTAACACAATTCTATAGTGTTGTACAGGTGCATCTCAATAAATTAGAATGTCGTGGAAAAGTTCATTTATTTCAGTAATTCATGCAAAAGGAGGCCCAACCAAGTATTGAGTACAGGGTTTTTGTGAAATGTGAGCCAAAATCATCATCACATACTTCAGTCTGTGTGCATAGAATTTATTTAATACACGAGTTTCACAATTTGAGTTGAATTACTGAAATAAATGAACTTTTCCACGACATTCTAATTTATTGAGATGCACCTGTATATATAAACCACAGTAAGAAAGTACCTTTGGGTTGTATTCAGCATTTCAAGCTTGAAGTGCAATGGATTTGAGATCCAGAGGGCAAGCAAGATTCACTGTTGACACAATATTCCTGTGTATAATCAAAAACAGGTTTGGAAATATAGACTTACACTGTGTAAACTGATGCATTACTCACAAAAAAATTAGGATGCAATGGCTGGTGGTTCAAAAGTAATCACTGTATGCTTAAAGAAGTGCAAAGGATTCTATTCAAAGGTAACTAACTTACTTCAGACATCTGGTTTAGTTAAATCATGGAATTCAAGCATTTTACAGCCTTTTACACTCTTAAAAATAAACCTTCCAAAATGTTCATAGTGATGTCGTAGAAGAATTATTTTTTGGTTCCCCAAAGAACCTTTCAGTGAACAGTTCTTAAAAGAACCATTTCTTCTTAGTGAGAAGCATAATTTAATAATCTAACCTTTATCATATCAAATCTTTTTTCCATTATAAGGAACGTTTTGTGGAGTTAAAAAAATATTCTTGGAACCCAATAAAGAACATTTAGTTTTTAAGAGTGTAGCAACATATGAAATAAAGTACTGGGCCTATATGATGCCATCAGATGTTAAAAAGAATCCTGGATACACATTCTTCACATTTTTTCTATAAAATGCCTTACAGTAATTGTGGGATGATGCCTGAACTCTCTGCCACTGGGGTCATGGGGGTCATAGGGGTCATGGGAGTCATCGGGAGATTGAACTGCAGGAGTTTTGGACAGAAATACTGGTGTCAGTATCTGCCTCTGCTGGCTCTCTCAGCAGACAGTCAGCGTATATGCCGCTGTCCTCATTCCTGCTGACATTCTCAGCCTGTGACGGCTCATCTTGTGTGCTCAGTTCATCAGGTAAGAAGCTCAGGTCCAAGTCTCCCGAGAGGTTAAAGAGGACAGGAAAGAGGAATCTTGGAGCTGTGGAGCTTGACCCTGTAGGCCCAGATGCCCTCAAAGATGTAATCAGATGAACCCTTAGAGGAGAAAAAAAAGTGATAAATACATTAAAGGCTTCAATTCAATCAATTGAATTTTAAAACACCATATGTTGTTAGGGAGGGCCAAATAAATACATTTGACTAGGACATTTATCTATGCCTTCATAGTTTTTTTTTTTCATTTCTCTAGTAAGGTTTCAAATTGATTTATTCCTGTATTTATTTATTTAATATTTCCTCATAAATATGTTGATTTCCTTATTTAGAACTACTTAATTTATGTTATAAGAACATGTAGACTAGAGTGCAGCTAACAAAGACTTAACATTTCAGCTATTTATTTTACAACTTACAGCAATAGTCTGGTCAAAGTAATTTTAGAGAGCTGCCTCCTCATCCATGCTCCTTAAAGAGATAGTTCACCCAAAAATTAAAATTCTGTCATCATTTACTCACCCTCATGTCGTTCCAAACCTGTATGAGTTGCTTTCTTATGTTGAACATAAAATAATATATTTTGAAGATTGCTGGTAATCAAACAGTTGGTGGTTGCCATTGATTTCCATAGTAATTTTTTTTCCTACTATGGAAGTCAATGGCAACCAGATTACCAGCAATCTTCAAAATATCTTCTTTTATGTTCAACATAAGAAAGCAACTCATACAGGTTTGGAACGACATGATGGTGAGTAAATGATGACAGAATTTTCATTTTTGGGTGAACTATCCCTTTAAGGTCCATTGGACGAAAACAGATGTAGAGTGTGAAGCTACTCACAGAGGCGTGACAAATCATGTCATCAAAACTAAGGAGTTACTTCTCTTTAGTAAGCTCAAATAAAATATATTTTATACAATTACAATTATATTTTTGTTTCATTTTTGCGCTAACAACATAACACAATGTTACTTAAAAAAATAAATATATTTTCCTGTAGTGCAGTCTCCGGCCAGTAGAGGGAGACAGACACAACGCTGTAAACAGTCACAAATGTCATAACATTAACAACTGTTAAACATGTGAGATGTGGATATGAGCTGTCACTAATAATTTCAAAACAAGAATAGTTAATTGTATAGTATGAATAGGTTGGCATGCATGGGAATAATGTATATTATGAGTATTTTAAGCTGAAGGAGGCTTGTGAAAAATCAGCAGTCACTGTATTGGTTCCATAGAAACTTGTGGAGAGTGTTATGGATGCAGTTAAAGAATGCTTGAGAGATTTTCCTAAAGAAGCTCGGGGTGAGTTCACTTACTGTCTATTGACATCTGAACACTTATAATAACACTTCTTATAATATCAAATCTTATGCCGATAATAAACAGACAGACAGAAAGATATATACAGTGGGGAAAAAAGTATTTAGTCAGCCACCAATACTTAAAAAATTCTTTAAAAATCCTACAATGTGATTTTCTGGATTTTTTTTCTCATTTTGTCTCTCATAGTTGAGGTATACCTATGATGAAAATTACAGGCCTCTCTCATCTTTTTAAGTGGGAGAACTTGCACAATTGGTGGCTGACTAAATACTTTTTTGCCCCACTGTAGATAATGTACATGCAATGGTAATAGTATTTTATGGTAAATTATTTATCAATATATATCATTAAACATAAAAAATAATAAATAGGTGAATCTCGGAAAATAATTGAATAGGTCATATCTTTCCTCAAAATGAAAATTATATATATATATATATATAATGAAATATTGAAAAAAAAAATTGAAAAATTTATAACCGCATAACCTTAAAAACATAAGCATATCAGTGACATCAGTCTTCTCTTCCTCAGAGCTTTATCTTAATGATGCAGTGCTGTACCTGGACGGGCCCTCCATACTCTCTCCTCTTCAGTTTTATCGTGACTGGATTGGTCCAAACAAGCCCTGCATCATTCGTAATGCCTTCAGTGATTGGCCAGCTTTGTCTAAATGGAACCCCACATATCTCAGGTGAGCCAATCAGATTATCAGATCATTCTAAGACTTCTAATGTTTAAACTCTGCTCCCCGATTCCTAAAAATGTTTCTGCAAACTTTTCTTATCATATTTGTGCAGAGAGAAAGTGGGCTCCAAAGTCATCAGTGAGGCAGTCACTCCAAACGGATATGCAGATGCCGTGAACGGGAATCGCTTTGTGATGCCAGAGGAGCATCAGATGACCTTTAGCCCTCTGCTGGATATCATCATAGGGGGGGAAGGTGAAGAGCAGTGGTGTGTTTTACGTTCAGAAGCAATGCTCAAATATGACTGAGGAGTTACCGGAGCTGACGGGAGACCTACAGACTTCAGAGAGTGAAGTGCTGGGTATGTCCACTGTCCACACAATTTACATTCATTTTCTACTTGGATGTGCCTTTGATTGGAGAATGGCAGATTAATGTGAAATGTGGATTTTTTAAATTTAGGATAACAGCCTGATGTTGTACATTTCTGGTTTGGGGAGGAAAGCGCGGTCACATCAGGTGAGTTTGTCTTCACTTGTTCATAAACGTAAAATATTGTAAACTTTAAACTAGTGGTTCTCAACCAGGGGACCAAAACAAGCATTAAAATGACCTAAAACAACTAAAAATATTATTTAAATTCACCCCCTCAACAAATCGCAGAAATCGTATAAATGAGGTATAAATCTTATACTGTATATGAGGTAGCCTAATTTTAAAAGTGTGAATTCTAGACATGGAAAAGTCATGGAAATTAATAAAATCGTAAAATGCCATGGGTATTTTAACAATACATTTTTCAAGTTAGGCCAAGCTCTTAAATATGTTATTGGGTAGAAATTGTGAGTAAAAAATTGTGGAGTCCTTGACAAACGCTGTTGGATGTTGAGATGTGCATGTAGATTATTTTAGGGATCTAGAATAAATATTGCAATAAACAATGCAGTTTAACATGTAATAAATACAGTTTTATTTGTTTGACTACTCTGAGAAAGAGATTTCAGGTGACAGATTGTATAAACACAGAGAATAGAAACACTTGACTTCGGTTTGGAGCAAAAGGTAAGACAAAGTCACAAGTTTCCAAAAGAAACCGTCTTAGAAAGCACTGGTCCACCTGTAATGCTAAAATACACCTTGATCAATTGACCACAGGTTAGATGAAAGCAGAGCTGGTCACCACAGAGAGATAGCACTGAAAGCAGAAGGTTCGCATGATTGTTCATGAGGAGCAGGTCAAGCGTACAACCATGCATTCTAGTTCAGGAAGCGAGCCCACCCTAAATTCTGCTTTTCTTCATGCATGTGCTGTGTATTCATGCTGATTCTCACATATTACTTTTGTTACTGATGCAGTCTTATTGTATGGTTTTCATTTCTGCTACATCACCGAAGCTCACTAGCTAGCTAAATAAAGTCTGTTTGGGCTTACGTTAATTATTTTTATCTCATGCATTTTCAGTCTTGCTTAAGAGATGACAAATAAGAGCTTTTGCTGCATACTAGAATGGGTGTAAATAAATCTATTTAACTACAAGACTGCCAGTGCAATCTGCCATTGGTGAAAACGGGTAACAGTTGGGTAAAAATTTGCATTGTTTTTGCAATTGCACATTTTGCATCTTTCATTGTTAATACATTTGTCAGAACAGTTTGATAGAATGTTACAAGAGTTGAAACTAAGCATCAAGTCAATAAATACAATTTGTGCATCTCAGACACCAGGCAAGTTGCAGCTGAACTAGTTGCAGTGTTGACTTAAGCTGGGTGTACACTGTGCAATTTTTTTAATTCAGATCATACAATATGACACCAGTGAGATGCTGGATAAAAGGCCATGGCGACTGTGTGACATCAACTGTATTTTATGGCTGTATGATATAAATCTTTGGTCGCCACTGACGGCATCAACTAGGTGTTTAGATTATCAATCGTGTCATGTCCTGACATTTTCATTCACAAAGAGCATGTCATCTTAAGCAATCAAATACTGTCAATTTGGCCTGTCGACAAAAACAATCTTTTAACATCCCAAAATCGTACAGTGTGCACCTGGCTTTAACTTGGATTTGTATCAGTAGAAGAGCTGGACACTATAAAACATGTGCAGGTTCATTTATATAAGTTACAGTACACTTAACATAATATGCCATAATTTTGAATCAAGCTTCATGACAAAAAAGTGCCTTACTGTATGTACATTATCAATATTACTACAGAAAAGAAGAGTTGTTTCAAGCAGAGGTCAGAGAGGCAACACCTCAACCTAGTTAGCAAGGGATTGTGGGAAAGACTGTGGATTACAGAGTGACTGTTTTGTTTAGCTCTTGGGAAAATAACAGAGCACATCACGTAACAATAAAACATACCTTTAAAGGGGTCATATGATGCGATTTCAAGTTTTCCTTTCTCTTTGGAGTGTTACAAGCTGTTCGTGAATAGATAAGATCCCTAAAGTTGCAAAGATTAAAGTCTCAAATCCAAAGAGATATTCTTTATAAAAGTTAAGACTGGTCCACGTCCTTCTAAAACGCCTTGTTTAAACATGCCCCCACATGTCTACCTCACGATGTGGGAAGATTTGCATAACGCCGCCCAAGTGTTCACGCAAAGAAAGAAGGCATAACTTTTGATTCTCGCTGTAGAATTGTTGCTGCCGCCGCTGCAATGTCGTGGAGACGCTGTGTGTTTCGTTGCGAAAGTGAAAATACTTTGTTTGGCCTTCCAAAAGAGGACACAACTAGAAATCAGTGGTTAAATTTACAACACTGTTCCAGAATAGTTCAACCCAAATATTCAGATGTGTGCAGCTCATGTTACCGGTCGGGACACACAGTATGGTGAGGGGCGTAACATTTCCGTCACACGCTTGAAGTATCCGGCCAATCACAACGCACTGGATAGCTGGCCAATCAGAGCACACCTCGCTTTTCAGACCGATGAGCTTTGTAAAAATAGATGCGTTTCAGAAAGGCGGGGCATAGCGGAGAAACAATGTACAGTATGTTTTTTGAACCTTAAAATGCATAAACATTTCATTACACCAAATAGACAAAATAATGTTCTTTTTAGCAGCATCATATGACCCCTTTAAGAAGTCATAATTGGAAAACAGTCCGAAAAAAAGTTTTTCTGTATAAATGCTTTTCAGGAAAAGGGAATTTTCAAAACCCAAAGTTCTGTAAACCGTTCTCAAAATTTGTGCACAGAAATTCAACAAACTTTATCTACTTGGCTATTGCAACTCCGTCAGTATCCCCAGAATGATCAATTCAGTTCAGTGGTTTTTATGGCAGTTTTGTTTTGTTTTCGTCACCATATGTAACCTAGAATTAATCAATTAGAGGTGGACAACATCCAAATATCACTGATCATTTTGATATATAACCTGCTTGAATAACAAAAGCCGGATTCATTCCTTCAAGCAAATTGCTGGTCAAGATTAAGGCACCCGTATCCATGAGACAGTTACCATTCAAGTACAAAAAAGTCCTGCAAATAAAACAAAATAAAATCTTCCTTCAAAATCCCCCCAATTTTCTTCTCTGGCACCCAACTGACTCTTGCTGGCCATCAGGACATTGACATTATACAACAAACAAACGTTGAAGAACCTCTGTGCGACTCATTGACCTATCACAGAATAAATATGCACCCCAGTGTCCCAATTCAACTTGAGAGTATCAGCACAAACACAATATACAGTATAAAAATCATTCCATAATAAAAGGTAAAAGTGAGACAAATCTGCCTTGCTGACTTCCAGGGATACCGGTCCCTTTGTAAGAGAGCATCGAGAAGTTTTTTAAAATATTAAACACGTTCAAATAAATGGCGCTTGCTGGCGATTCCTCTCAACAACAGTTTGTTTTTACACATGACAGAATATTGTATCCATATAAAATTGCTTATTCATCTTTTAAGACGATAACGACTGAATCTATTTTGTTGTACCATGCAGTCAACAAAAAACATGTAACCAATTACTCTCCCTGATGCCGTGTAGGTCATTTGAAAGTTACCCTGGGCGAAACTATCCGGATACGTTTTAGTAGCAGGGCACAGAATTTTGTAAAGAGGTGAGAAAAGTCAGGGGTGTGTTGCTACCATAGTAGCATGCTAAACAGGGAGGTAGGATAGTGGCATTTCTCTTTATTAAAAGCTCCTCGCTATCTAAAACGATCTGCTGTGCAGTCTCATGGCTTGGTATCCTGTTAGAAATCATAGATATCAGATTTTGTTGTCCATCCTCTTTTCCACTGCGGTGAGCAGCAGTTTGGAGTACTGCTCTAATAGGGCAAGTGTCCTGTCGTCACCTATTGTTGCATCACTGTTAGCTAATGTGCGCACAGTGCAAGTGCTGGGAGATCTTGAAGGAGTGCATGGTGGCAGGCAATTCAGCTCATCTCTCATTGCCTCAAATGCTTCGGCCAGCACACATGCCATTTCCTGCTGCTCTTCACTGGAGTCAGTGGAGTTGCTTAGCTACAAGAAAGCACACACATATGCAAAGTTAGATTCAAGTCGCCCGCACAAAACAATTTAGGCAGACGTGTGGGCTGAAGCGCAGCTGCCCACACGTCATGTACTCTACAATTACATGTATATGTGGCCAAATGATAACCTACCATTTTGTAGAGCTGGGAGGCTCTTTTAAAACTGCTCTGCAATTCATTGGCAACCAGCCTACAAGAATCCACACTGAGAGATGTGTCTGCAGAGGAGAAATCAAGCTGTTAGATTCATACTGTGTCTTAAAATGAGCTGAGCAACAAAAACATACAACTGTGACTGAGCATACAATGAAAAGTAAAGCTGAGCACTATAAGGCATGGGAAATTATTTAGTGCAGTGGTACTCAGCAGAAAAGATTTACAGAATAACACGGATTAACACCATTTGTTGTTCCTAGAACAACATCCCAATTAACCAAGAACAACCCTAACCCTAACATTAAAACCAGAGGGAAATTATTAATCATAAGAATACTGTTGCAGGACCGTATCCCTAAAGCACCCTGCAGGTGGTAATAGTTAATGGGTGGAGAGGGTGAAGAAGAGATGAAAGATGTGATGGTGGAGGTGGAGGATGAGAGAGGCAAGAGCCCTTTGTTAAAGAAGTGTTTAGACAGTCCAAGCCGGAGCAGAACAGAAGATGCAACGAGGGAAGGCTGATGTCCTAGCAAACCTGAGTCTTGAGATCCTGAGGAAGACTGACGCACACTTAGGCTGCACTGGCTCATGGGAGGGCACTCAGCCTCGGAGGTATCCTTTTTTCTTGGCTCTGTATGCGAGTGGAGTTTATCTTCTGTTAAGTTTTTGGTCTGGCTGGGAACAAGAACCATACTAAGCTCAATCTGGTCTGGGGTTTCAGATGTGTTCAAACAAACAGCTGTGACCGGCTGTACAATGCTGTTGGGCAGGTGAACTGCTCCAGGATTTGAAGAGGGAGTGGTGTAGGACAGGCTCAACTGTAGCAGATGCACAAAAGGACAGGATAATAATAATACTAATTATAATAATATGACTACTACTACTCCTACTACTTTTAATAACAACTATATTGCAAAAAAACAAGAAAACAAACCTGATGCTGCGATCCTGACATCCAATAACAGCATATTTCTGTGTGGGGTCCACATCCATGTCATACAGAGTAGTCTTCCTCACTATGTGATGAGCACGTGTGAATGCTGTTCCCTCCTCTGTCTGTTTTGGCATGTTTAATGATTAGTTCAGTGCAAAGAATAACTCATATAAACACTACTTTAAGCAATTTTTTCTTTAAATAATAAAAAAAAATAAAATAAAAAAAAATATATATATATATATATATATATATATCATAATTCGTAATAATTTATATACACAAAAAAAAGTTCATTATTCTTCCTAGAGCCTTTTTCTCTAGAATGAGAATGGAAATAATCTTTAAGCATGATATAGTGGATTTACAAGCAGTCTGTTAATGATCCCTGGTCCTGGGTCACATTTACAGCTCCTCAAGACGTCACATCTGATCACTATCTGCTCCATTAGTTTATTCCACTAATAAATCAATTGTCCACCTTAATCTGGTTTTATGTTTGGATTAAGGGTTTTGAGAAGCAGATTACAGTGTAAGAAAAGAGTACAATAGGAAAATGCAGACGTTCAGAGGAAAACAAAGAAAATAACTAATTATTAAAACATGTAGGAATCGATTACAATTTCAATACCACCATATCAATGGATAATTTGTATAACTATACTTCTCAGACATATATGTTAATTCTAACTGGACAATATTTAATTATATGTAATGTTTTGTGGATTAATCTCAACAGATCTTTATTTTTATTCCTAATTCTTAATGTTCATTCAGAAACAAACTCAAAGACTTCAAAGTTGATATCTCAGGATTCATTTAGGACGTCAGAAGTGCTTGTTTGTGTCTCACACTTAATCACTGGCCGCTGGTATCTCACTTACAGACGGGTGTTAAGTGCTTGTGTGTCTATTTAAATCAGGTGTTCTTTGAATCCCTGGCAACGGTTCCTTGAGGCCTGAAGAATCTGACAGCTCTGACTCAGGACTCTGTTTCACTCAATGAAAGAAATGCCACTCTTTCCATTTTAAAGATGTCCAATGAAAACATCATAGGTTATGGTAAATAATAAACATCTAAATGTGACAAAAAGTGATCTCACCTTCTGTGCCGTGCGGAAATAGATGCTCTTATCAGCACCGCAACTGATCATTCTGACTTTCCCATCGTTAGCTGAAACAGAAACAAAGACATCGCACATGAACATTTCCAGCATTTGTTGTTAAATAAAACTGTTAAGATCTCACCAGCAAATCGGACTGCAGTGATAGAGGAAGAGTGTTCATCCAGTGTTTGCAGGAGGCTGTATTCCTGATCCGCATCCAGAACATGGATCAGTCTGTCTCTGCTGGCGGTGGCCAACAGTTTCAGCCCTAACACACACATATTTAACATAAATTAAATTTTCTATGTGTCAAAAAATCCTGAATCTATGAACATTGATAATTTCCTGAGCAGCAAATCAGCATATTAGAATGATTTCTGAAGGATCATGTGACACTGAAGTCCAGTCAAGTCACCTTTATTTATATAGCGCTTTTAACAATACAGATTGTGTCAAAGCAACTGTACAGCATTAATTAGGAAAATAGTGTGTCAATAATGCAAAATGACAATAGTAAACACTCACACTGAAGACTGGAGTAATGATGCTGAAAATTCAGCTTTGCATCACAGGAATAAATTACATTTGAAAATACATTAAAATGAAAACCGTTATTTTAAATTGCAATATTTCAGAATATTACTGTTTTTACTGTATTTTGATCAAATAAATATAGCCTTGGTGAACTTAGAGACATTTAAAAAATCATTTTACTAACATATTTCATGATATTATCATCTGATACCATTACCGGCAGCCCCTCGGTACATTTCTGTAAGGATATACCAGCCAAACCGCATTTCTGAAATAGTGTTTAAAAGTTCAATATCCTGTGAGCCGTTGAAAGCGGCTCCTGGTTTTGTTCTCACACTTTCCACACCACTAGCTGATTCACTAACACACTGTGTTCATGTGTGACTTCACACAGTGAAGAAAGTGAGAACAGTGTGAGAACAGAACATGATATGTTTCTGCAACGCTAAGCAGAAGAAATGAGCCAGATCGTGTTGAAATGAGCATTCATCTCTATCAAGAGATTCTCATCTGAAAACTTAATATTCTACCGGCTGCAGAGCAGACTCACAAATGATCATGTGATGTTCTTCACTGCAAAAACTAATCAAAATGCAGCTCGTGAGGATTACAGATCCGTTTAGAATGGATCAATTGTTTTTTTAAGTGCATGTTGAACAGGTACAGCAAAACCAAATGAGCAAGTTTATAAGTATGCTAGGATTCTTTGAGAATTGACCCTTTTTTACATCCATTCCAAACAATGCAGTGCAGAAAATGTCTAAATACCATGCAGATTATGGTAGATAAGCCATTTTTTGGCCTGTTACAGTGGGTGGGATCAATGGTCCGTTAAACTGAGAGAACCCTATCACAGTGTCACGAAAGAGCAGGAGAGGAAAGCAAGCAAGGCGGCGAGATTGTGTACCTCTATGTGTGTTCTAGCAGATGTTCTGTTTCTCATCGAGCTGTATTCAGTGTCTGGCCTTGAGCCTGATATAAACCACCAGCTAAGGCAACACATGCTCAGCACAACTTCACACTGAACTGCACTTAACAGGGGAAGATAATGACTCTCAATACGCCTGCTCTAAACCCCCAGCCCTGCATAGAGTCTCAAGAGCTTTCGAAAACTGGAGAGAATTACACTATGCTAGTTAGTGGTGGTTGGGGGCATTTCCAACGTAATAGGGAAAAAATCCCATGGATTTAGACTGAAGAAGGGACCAAAGCATTGTTGTTATTGTTAACTAAAAGTAAAATGATTAAAAATAATAGTTTTCTTTATTGAAATAAACTTATCTAAAAATAAAATAATCAAAATTTAAAAATTTTAAATAATAAAAAAATATATATATATTAGATGAAAACTTTAAACAAAAATTTTAAATATCACCTTGGCAACTACCTGAAATAAAAATAAATTAAATAGCTAAATAGATTAAATAAAAACTAATATAACAAAATCGCTAAAACAAACTAAAATTAAAATAAAACTGAACATTTTAAAATATTAATAAACAAATATTTTTTTTGTTTATAAAAGTATATAAATAATTCTAAAATTACACTGGACTTAAGCCATATATAATTAAGTAGCATCCTAGCAACTACCCAGAAAACACTTGAGCATGATTGTTCTGGAACATTATCACAATGATAATACCGTGGTATTCTATTTATACAATGGTACTGCTACACTTTTTTGCGAACACTGACAGTTTCCAAAGTATATTATCTTTTATTTTGGATCAACTACTGTTTGGTCAACTATTACTGGTATGTCACTATCCTCTAACCGTGTCACATCTGCTCTCTTAAATGGATACCCAAGGCTCTTTTATTTCTTTTCAATTCCTCTGAAAAATAACTTTCTGGGTTATTTACAACTGAAGCTCTATCAGCAGCATCTGTGGCATGCTGTCGATTACCACAAAAATGGTGGCATTGATAACTGCATATTTTAAATGTTTACACACAATGCTGTTCGCTTGCATACTGATGCGTGTTTTTTGATGTTTCTACAACCTGAAGCACAAGAATCATTTTCTTTGGTAATTGACAGCATGTCACAGATGTTAGTGATAGTGCTTAAAGCAACATTTCCGCACTTCTGCCATTGGTCAGTCAAACAGGTAGTGAACCAAAACTAAGTCCATTATTAAGTCAATGCTTCTATGTCGGGATGGTCAGGATGTTCAAACAAACATTTCAATGTCATATTTCAACTTTTTAAAGAAAGATCAACTCAACAAATGACTAACTGTTGTCTCTGTATTTTAAGCGGGGACATTGAACATTGAGAGGGTATTTTAAGATTGAAAACATGACTTCAGTTTTAAGTTGAACCAGGTTGAGCTGTGAAGTTTACACTGGAAACACTAGCTGTAAACACTGCTGGTGGCATATGTGTGAAGTGGCGACTCCAAGGTTACAGAGCATCCGCTGAGCATCTGAGCTGGATCAGCACTTCCTTTTTACTGGGGCATTAAGCGGCACCTCAGTGCAGGATTTAATTAGCTACAGACCTATAAAAAAAACACTCAGCACTAGGGTTGGGTATCGTTAGAAATTTTCCGATTCCGGTTCCAGTTTTGCCTAACGATTCCGGTTCCATTTAAGTGAACAATTTTTTTTTTTTTTTACTATTTTACCTTAATTGAATGTAGTGTTGCTGGAAGGTAGTAAGTAATGTTGAGTAATGCATGTGCTTCAAAGTTGATGTTTTTTACACTATCAACAACATTTTCAAGCAGGAATAAGCTGGTTGGCCAAATAGTCCCTTGAGGGGGACACTTGTTCATTTCCCTAAATTAATGAAATATTATACTTATAACCATGTATACACACACTGCATAAAGCCCCTATTTTACAAATAATAATGCAGTCAGGAGTTGGTGTGATGCAATGAGTGGTTTCCACATTTTTAAACATTTAAAATGCATGAAAATATTTTCTATCACTTTGTTTATCACTCTTAAAATGACCTGTACACTAAATAATCTAACCCTCATACTTACATAACAATAGCAGTTTATATATTTAGTGGTTCAAGTTGAAGTCAGTATGTATATTAATGACAATATGGGACAAATATAATGTAATTTAGTGGCGGCAAGATCTGCGTGCTGCCGGTACGTGTACAGTCAGACAAAACAATGTGCACATTTATCAAAGACTCGAGTGCGCGTACAGTCGTGAAAAACGATGTGTTCAGCAGTTAAAAGATGCGGCGCGTCTGTGGAGTGCGCGCTCAGACAAAACAATGTGCACATTTATCAAAGACTCGAGTGCGCGTACAGTCGTGAAAAACGATGTGTTCAGCAGTTAAGGACGCGGCGCGTCTGTGGAGTGCGCGTCATGGGAAGCAATGTGCTCAGTAATTAAAGAGGCAGGGCGGCGTTTCTGTTATTTGGTTTGTGACATCCATTATGGGAAACGCCGGCGCAAGGCTGCTCACAGAACCGAAACTTAGAAATTGCTCACGGTTCCGGTTCTTTTCAAAAAACAGAATACCAGTTATCGGTTCCCAACCCTACTCAGCACTCACCGGTCTCAGGTTTGGAGTACTCGAGACACAAGATCTCAGAGTCGTGGGCCTGAACATCCAGAATTTCCTCCATGCTCTCCAAATCATGGATTCTGAAAACAACAGACGTTCAGTGTGGGTCTGATTGGCTAAAACATTTTTTACATTTTCTGAAGTAGAATATAGTATAAAATCATTGAGAATACTTTTATAATTCATTATATACACAGTTTCATAGAGGGTGTAACATGCATGTGATACCCAGTACACAAAAACATTGTCCTTTCCATTAAAACCCTCAGAGGATCAATTAACTCAAATCAATTAGTGAAGAAGTGTTAAGCAGACATGTGAAAAACAGACCTCAGTGTTCCATTGCGGTCCCCTGATGCCAGGTGCAGCCCGTCTGGGCTCATGCAGATGGTCCTAATGCCTGTCCGGTTGTCTGAGGTCTGTGGGTCGACCTTCTCAGAGTTACTGGAGATTGTGCATTCTGTGTCCAGCAGGGAGGAGGTGTTGCTGTCCATATAAATAACCTTCTGGAGGTCCTTTGGTGACAAAAAAATGATCATTTGTGACTTGTTCATTACATTTTTACAGGTACATATACTTAAAGTTACTTAAAATGCATGAATATTGTTATGTTAGATAAATATCAAAGCAAATGGCACCTGTAAATCTATCAAATCAGAACTAAATAGAGGTTTGGGAATAATAAAGTGTCCAATATGTGAATGTTTGACATGTGGATTAAATGTATAAATGCCTTTTGAAGCTAGAGTTGCTGATAGTACAGTAGCTGACTTTTTTTAATGAAAATATGCGGTTTATGGAAGAAATATGTATCAGTTCACAGTAGCACCCCAAGTATGATGATCGTTTTTCACAGAAAATACACTACCATTGAAAAGTTTGATTTTGAGATAAGTCTCCTATGCTCACCAAGGCTTTATTTGATCAAAAATACATACATGTTATTATAATTTAAAGTAACATTTTCAATTTCAATATATTTTAAAATGTAATTTATTTCTGTGATGCAAAGCTGAATTTTCAGCATCATTACTCCAGTCTTCAGTGTCACATGATCCTTCAGAAATTAGGGGTGCTCCGATCAGGATTTTTGAGGCCGATCACTGATCGCCGCTCACAGAAAGCAGTATCTGCTGATACCGATCACCGATACCGATCTTTTTAAAGCTTTCGTTTTATCATTTATAACTATATATAGTGATACTCCAATCAGGATTTTTAGACATTTATTCATTTTAGACATATTTATAGCCTGAATTTCATTTTATTTTTAGTTTTTCTACCTCCACGAGTGGCATCTATTATTGCCTTGTTTATCTAAAAGTGCTCTTTCCCTTTAAACCTAGCCAAAAAGCCATATGTTTACTGTGAAACACAGTAGACTTTAATAATATGCATTTATGGTGTAATTGCTACATTTTCGTGTCAATCCATGTTCATATTTAATTCTCGGTGCGGAAAGATCTCTGCACTGCTGCAGACGCGCTGCCGGACAGCAACCGTGTGCAGTGAACGCTTTAATCTGTTAACATGGGCACAGAAAAAATACGCACATACACTGCAAACTGAGTAATGTGAACCTGGTGTTATGTGTGTGCGCTGCGAGTGTGCATGAGGCACGGTCTCCAGGAGAGTGTGCAAACGCTGAATGGTTAAACACTGGCAAGAATTAAAAAGAAATGCAATTTATAAACTTTAGTGACGATGTGACACTGCCTCGATTGTGCAAGTGACACTTCCTGTGTCAACTGTGCAGCTCGCTTATAGACAGACGCGATGTGTGGTGATTTGAAGCTATTTGCGTATTTTGAGAGAGAAAGAGAGAGAGAGCGTGGTGATTCACTCACGCTGTTTGTGAAGTTACGTCTCACACAAGGTTTTCAAATTACTTTAGAAGTTATTTAATGAAGAAATATAGCATTATAATTATTTCAGCCGCGCTGGACAGAGACTGAGACGGTGCCGCTGCATGTCATGCCAAACTTCTCACGGCAGCGTCATCAGCTTGAGATCAGTTTTTTGAGATTGGCCTTTTTAGAGACCGCCGATCAAACATCCCAACGTGATTATCGGCCGATAGTGATCGGTAACCGATCAATCGGAACACCCCTATCAGAAATCATTCTAATATGCTGATTTTCTTGCTGCTCAAGAAACATTTCTCATAATTATTAATATTGAAAATAGCTGCTGCTTAATATTTTGTAGAAATCGTGATGCATTTTTTTCTGGATTTTTTGATGAATGGGAAGTTCAAAAGAACAGCATTTACTTGAAACCGAAATCTTTTGTAACATTATAAATGTCTTTAATGTCACTTTTAAATTTTTTGTAAGAAAAAAAAAAACCTACTGACCCCAAACCTTCAAACAGTAGTATTTTTTGCAATAAAAAAACAAAACAAAATCAGAACACCTCAAAGACAAGACTGGATTAATTTCAAGTCTTGAGTTTCCAAAACTCACATTGCTGATGACGTTTCGGCTGATGGTGTTCTGGGCGTCTGTGTTCCATAAACGGATAGTATTGTCAGAAGAACAGCTGAGGAACGATCCGGGAGACAAACGTGGCTCTCCATCCCTCGTCTCTGGGTACACCTGCAGGACAAAGAATGAGAAGTGATTCAACCTGACAAAATACACGGCGTTACATCACACAAACTCATTCATACAAACAAATACAGGTGTATTTACTCTAATGTGACATTTAAACTCCATTAGGTCATTATCAAGTAAACAAGAAGGAGCGGTCTTACGCACTGGGCGTTAATCACACATCCTCTTTATACAAACAGAGAATATATCCATCTAAGTGACACACAAGGCTGATACAGTACATTCTAGCATTGGATAGGACAGATTTTTAATGAAAATGTGTCTTTATTATTTTTATTATTTAACAACGTTGTAAAAGTAATAAGATATTTTAGGCATATTTTGAATATACCTTCACAACTGAAGCTTTAGCTGACACTATATTCACAATAATTCAGTTTATCATTGATTAAATATTTAGGCCTGTACCAGTATTATTTTAGTATCACTGATACGGTCTTATAGTTTTTGTTAATATTTTGAATTCCATTTTAAATATGTTACAATATTACATATTAGTTTTAATATTTTGTTTTTGTTATTTTTATTGGTTTAGTTTAACGTGTCTATATAAATAATGTTTTATAAATAATTTAAATTTATTAGTTTTAGCTGATTTAGTTTTAATTATTTCACTTCAAGTTAAACAAAAATATGTTTTTTTTTTAATTGAACTATTTCTAAAGTTAAAGTTTGTTATGGATTTAGTTAATTATAATAACCCTGACCTGTAATTATAGACATATTTCAGGAACTTTGATGAGGTCACAAAATGTCAGACAACTAAAGACAGACACAACAAACCAAAAGGGAAGTCATATTCATGAATCATGTGATCCGATATGCGCATACAGCCCACGACACAACCTGAAAATACAGTAGGTATATGATGTATGTCGACAAATCCCACAGGTTTTTTAAAAATATGTAGCCTGTCACAATAGAAAAAAAATAAAAAATAAAATGTGTCTGGTACATAAGACTGAAGACTGAAACCTACAGCAGGTGGGTTTTCATTAATACAATAACCTTGTATGAGTTCACATCAGGCCTCACAAAAAAAAACAAAAAAACATGAGGCTCAAATACAAAAGACCTGCCTCACATTATTCCAGCAGGCAAAATGTCAACACACGACACAATGAAAGGACAAAACATGTTACCATATGCACCAGCCAGAAGTCTGAATACACTTGACTGAATTTTCTCATAATCCTAAACTTTTATTCTACTTGAAATGCATGAAATTAGTTTTGTAGGTAAAAGTAAACACCTATGTCTGAACTGTTTTTTTATATTTAGTTCTTTTATTTTTTAGCATCCAACTGATCAGCTCTCTCTTTCCGTCACCACCTTATCTTATTTGACATGTTGCCTTGGCAAATAGCTGAAATAAAATATTTTTTATTTTACTTTATTTCAGTTAATGTTTAAAATGTATGTCTTGTTTCTCACCTCCACGCTCCATACACAGGCCGAATAATGCACAATGCACAAACCGCAAATAAAATCAGATGAGATATAAAACATAAAAATAATATGAAACAGGTGGCAATAAAGAGATGAAATGTGAAAAAAGAAATGTATTAGTGCCTGAGTACATGTAGGTTCAAAGTGAGAAGATAAGAGCTCATTTGTGTGTTTTTCCATTGGCTGTTAGATGTTCCTAATGAGAAAAATCTAATATTGAAATCTAAGAGCCTCCTTCACTGAAATATCTAATTTAATTTAGTGAGATAAGGACAGGGGGGACTAGGGATGTTAATTTCGGTTATTTTTCCTAACCGACGCTCGTTAACCGATTGTTAACCGTTAACCGACAAGATTTTTATATATTAAAATTGAATTAAATTAAATTAGAAAGGATAAGTGTCTGTGACCCATTAAAAAATAATAACATTTGTTTTCCGGGGATTCATTTTACATGCACAGAAAGCAGCAAACAACAGAACATTAGAAATTAGCCTACTGATTGCCACCATTGATGGACACAATTTTTTAATCATATTAAAAATATCTGTATGACATTATATTCTGCAGTTCTTCCCTGTTGTACCGAATATCTATACTTTTCAAATGATCATATCGAAGTTAGAAATTCAAATATTGTGACAAAATTAATTTTGTAGGGTGCCACAAGTTTCTTAAAATTTCCAAAGGGTGCCGTACTAAAAAAAGGTTGGGAAACACTGGTCTATATAACGAATAAATAGGGCTATACGAGAAACATATTTTTACTTAAATAGTAAATTAAGAAAATGAAAAAAAAAACTGTGCAACAAGTAGCCTAGTATGCAGAGTTTTGGTTCATTTTTGTGCTGCGCGAAAGGAAACAGACGGCAGAAAGCGACATCCTATTTTTCTTTAGGTTTATTTTACAAAAGCACAAAGATTTGTTTTTATTGTGAATGTACACAAATAAAGACAAACCTTTTACAATTCCAATTATCTTTAGGACTAAAAGGAGTAGTTTCTTCTACCGTTGGAAAAAATTCAAGTGATTGCGCCGGCGTATTATTAATGCGCACACTCACTACCTTGACAATGCAGCCTGTTCATTATCATAATAAAATAGTGTCAGTCAAACATATGGGGAAAAAAACTATTTAGTAAAAAAAATATGTAGTAAAATCTGTGCTGTTAAGTGTTATCACAGTAGACTACCGCGAAAACGATTTGATAAGAAAACATTTGATTTTGTGTGGAATGAGAGACCCAACGTTGGTTTCAGTTTCGTTTTAGCTTAAATGAATTCGTTTTGGCTTGTCGTTTATATTGCTATAGTTTCTTATATTTTAAATTCTTGTTCTTTTCTAAATACTGTTAATTGAAAGGATTTGTGAGGGGGAACTAAAATAGCCTAGCTATGTTTACAGTGTTTATTATAATGTTCGTAAACATTTTGCGTCGGCATTAGGCCTATTTCTGAATGAAATAAAAAATGCGACTTATACATGACTTGTTTTTTTCCCCCCCTAAAAAACACTTTTTATACACGTAGCATATTTTAACCATGCAGCAAACTTTTTTTAAATATTTTGATAAATTACTAAAAAAATAAATAATTAAATGACTTTTTAAACCGTTAAACTGATTGTATTAATCGGTCAAAATTACAGTCAGTTAACCGGTTAAAATGAACATCCCTAGGGGGGACTATTTGCTAAATAAGCTTTATGCCAAGAGACCAAAGTTCATTTTTAGATAATCAAGCTGTACAATGATACTAGGGCTCTTTTAGTTGATAAACTGTTAGACAGAGGGGCTTTTGTATTCTTGACCATTCTTTCTGTATCCCTTTCTTTCTGGCACTCTTCTGACTCTGTCTTGTTTTCTCTGTGCAGTGGGCACAAGGGTCCCACAAAAGCAGAATTGTGCAGCGCCCACCTGCTCTAACCGTGACCCACTTTGACCGTTTGTAAGGAGTCAAATCAACATCTCATATCAGCTCTAAATCATGTGTTCAAGTTCACAACACGGCTGCCTAGTTCTCACGGTTTTCTAAAGGTCTTACGAAATACAAATTTCTTCTTCTCTTTTGTGAGATTCAAAATCCTTTCTTTAAATAGACATTACTGATCTGATGTTTCAGTAAATACAAATAATGCACTGAATTAAATTATAAAATATAATGTTGGGATATTAATATATTGGGTGATTTATGTTAAATTTACCTTAAAAATAAAAATAAATATTATTCAGTACCCTTTCAAAATACAATTGAATGCTTCATACCAATAATAAATTAAAATAATTAAATACATAACTAAAATATTATTAAATACCTTTTAAAATGCAATTAAATAATTAACACTATTAAATAATAATTAAAATAATTAAATACATAAAGCAATTAAAACAATGCAATATAACAAATAATATAATAATAATAATAATTTTTTTAAAACACACAAAAGGGACAGTGTATGCAATTAAATAATTAATACTAATAATTAATAATTAAATACATAATTAAAAAATTTAAAACAATGCAATGTAAAAATACAAAAAAATCAATTAAAATGAATATAATAATAATATATTTTTTTAACACAAACACACAAAAGGGGCGGTGTATGCAGTGAATGCAGGAAATTATGGGTTTTTAAAAATTAAACAAGTTTTGTGGGTGATGATTCTGTGTCCTGATGCTTTGTCTGAGATTAGAGTGATAACTGGCAAGTGAAGGTAATGAGGTCAAACATCCAGTGTACAGGTGAGCATGACTGACAGCAGCACCATGACATGTCGTTCAGTGAGTTTTACAATGAGACGTGACAGCTGAGTCCGCAGCCCTGATGTGAAACTTACTGCGAAACTGTCATTTTTCTGGACAGTGTGAGAGGAAAAGCAGAACAGACTAATATTAGACCACAGTAATAGCAGCATTAGTAATTAACACACTCCACTCTCGCTTAACACAGCTGAGAGCTTAGAAACACCCTCCGTTACAGGGGCTTTAATATCAGAAAAGGAAAAAAACAGCTTAGCATGGATAAAACACACAGACAAGAAAGCCTAAACAAAGCTCAACTACAAATTAGGGAGTAAAAATGTGACAATTGAGCTTTTAAGTTTAACTCCAAGTCTAAACCAGCTTTATTTTCATGCATATTACTTTCATAAACATGTTAAAGGAATAGAGCTCAAGAGTGACCTCTCAGAATTATTTTCCCCATTCATTTTCCATTGACATTTTAAAAAATTGTTCAGAACTAAACCAGCCTGCAAAAATAGTATTTTCATATAAATTCAGTTTTTTTTTATGCCCTAATGGATTCAACATCCTATATTATCCAAATATAGGTAAATAGTTAGACAGCTAAACTGATTTTGTTTCAAAGTTGTAAATAAAACAAAAAATACTGGAGTATGTTTTACAAGAAAATCAAAATGTCATGTTTAATTCAATGTTACTTGCCATTTCTTTGTAATTATTTTTTAAAATTTACTAGCAATTTCTGGGTGAAAATGTTTAAAATAATTTTTTCAGTGTAGCTAATGTTATCTAGTGTTCATATCTAGTGTTCACTACAAAAACTTATATCCATTAAAACAGTAACTATTTTGAAATGTGGATCTTTAATACGTTTTTTTATTTTTTTATATTTAGAATAAAATAGGAGCTAAAATCGTCTAAAAATCCATTCTGAATGCCATTTTTACTTTTTGAATCAAACTATTGAACAATATGGCACCTACACATTCATGCATATTTGTGACAGACTACGAGGAAAAGCAGAACAGACTAATATTAGACCACAGTAATAGCAGCATTAGTAATTAACACACTCCACTCTCGCTTAACACAGCTGAGAGCTTAGAAACACCCTCCGTTACAGGGGCTTTAATATCAGAAAAGGAAAAAAACAGCTTAGCATGGATAAAACACACAGACAAGAAAGCCTAAACAAAGCTCAACTACAAATTAGGGAGTAAAAATGTGACAATTGAGCTTTTAAGTTTAACTCCAAGTCTAAACCAGCTTTATTTTCATGCATATTATTTTCATAAACATGTTAAAGGAATAGAGCTCAAGAGTGACCTCTCAGAATTATTTTCCCCATTAATTTTCCATTGACATTTTAAAAAATTGTTCAGAACTAAACCAGCCTGCAAAAATAGTATTTTCATATAAATTCAGTTTTTTTTTTATGCCCTAATGGATTCAACATCCTATATTATCCAAATATAGGTAAATAGTTAGACAGCTAAACTGATTTTGTTTCAAAGTTGTAAATAAAACAAAAAATACTGGAGTATGTTTTACAAGAAAATCTAAATGTCATGTTTAATTCAATGTTACTTGCCATTTCTTTGTAATTATTTTTTAAAATTTACTAGCAATTTCTGGGTGAAAATGTTTAAAATAATTTTTTCAGTGTAGCTAATGTTATCTAGTGTTCATATCTAGTGTTCACTACAAAAACTTATATCCATTAAAACAGTAACTATTTTGAAATGTGGATCTTTAATAAGCTTTTTTATTTTTTTATATTTAGAATAAAATAGGAGCTAAAATCGTCTAAAAATCCATTATGAATGCCATTTTTACTTTTTGAATCAAACTATTGAACTCTATGGCACCTACACATTCATGCATATTTGTGACAGACTACACAATCAACCAATCAGTGTCCTTGTCACTCACCCTGAGCTCCACCCACTTGTCCAGCATTCTTTTGTCATTGAACTCACAGAGCAGCCCAGAGGAAGTGATGCAGAAGGTGCTGTTTGCCTTCCGGCCCTTTCCACAGGCGACATCGCTGAAGAAATTATTCCGCAGCTCTCCAAGGAGACCAGAGCGGCCCAATAATGGTACTGTAGCATTCATCTGTGAGAGATGACATTTATGAGACTTTCATCTAGGACCAGGATAATATTCAGTACTGTATGAATGGGCTGGGAATTCATGTGACGTGACATTTTCAACTGTGGTCAGGTTTGACGTCTGTGGTGACAGCTAAGTGAGAGTTAGAGATAGTTTGCCACATTAGCAACGTCTACCTTGGATGACTTGGTGTGGTCAAGATACCAGAACTTCACATGTCTATTTCCGGCTGTAACAAAGTAGGAGCTGTCATCTGAGAAAGACACAGCCGTCACTTTACTGGACACCTTGTTGGCGGCAACCACAACATTTTTCTGAAAGGACAAAAAGACAAATATTCAGTCTCTAAAATTTTAATGCTATGATTTACGGATCTGTTTTTTAGGCTATTGGTTGATTAAAGTGCAACAATCAAAAGCGTAAAATCATGGTAAACACAGAGTATGCAAAATGGAACTACATTAAAGGAATAGTTCACCAAAAAAAATTTATTTGCTTAACATTTACTCACCCTGAGGCCATTCAAGATGTAGATGAGTTTGGTTTTTTGTCAGAACAGATTTGGAAAAATTTAGGATTACATCAGTTGCTCACCAATGGATCCTCTGCAGTGAATGGGTGCCATCAGAATGAGTGTCCAAACAGCTAATAAAAACATCACAATAATCCACACGTAATTCACACCACTCCAGTCCATCAATTAACGTCTTGTGAAGCGAAAAAGCTGCATGTTTGTAAGAAACAAATCTAGGCAAGTAAACTTTAAACCAAAATGCCAGTCCATAATCCATAATAATGCTTCCTCCAGTGAAAAAGTCCATCCCCAGTTGTCCACTCACATCAAAGTCCACCAACATATATGTTTAGGACTGTTTTTGCATGTAAACGGTGGTTGGTCTGTGCAGATTTCTCTCCTGATTCAGACAAGATGACTTTTTCACTGGAGAAAGCAATATTATGGATAGAGAACAATTTGGCGGATTTGTTTACAAATACAATTACAAATACACAGCTTTTCGCTTTACTAGAAGTTAACTGATGAGGCTGTGTGGAATATTGTGATGTTTTTATCAGCTGTTTGGCCTCTTATTCTGACGGCACCCATTCACTGCAGAGGATCCATTGGTGGGCAAGTGATGGAATGCTACATTTCTCCAAATCTGTTCTGATGAAGAAACAAACTCATCTACATCTTGGACGGCCTGAGGGTGAGGACAGTTTTCATTCCTGGCTGAACTATTCCTTTAAATTACTCTTCTTTTCATTCTTCAGCTATAAGCATATACTGTATAAAATATAACGCATATTCTTTACACTACAAATATAGTGTTGCCTTGTGTTAACACCATTACTTTGATGCACTGCAAACACTGCTATTTCCTTCAGGAAAAGCAAACTAAATGAAAACCATTTTTCATGACAGTACGAATATTGCTAGTCACCTTCCAGGCCCAGACGTTAACGATCATGTCATGTTGGTAACCCACACTGACGATGTATTTACTGTTGGGGGAGAAAGCCACACACGCCACGCCGTATTTATGTTCATGTAACTCCGCCACCTGTGTCCTCTCCGCCACATCCCAGACACGCACCGCCGGCATATGACCGCTCTAGAGAGAGAGAGAGAGAGAGAGAGATTATGAGGGCTGTCAACATGCTTTAGTTCAGACAATCTCCACACAAGAGCAATATCTACCAGATTTAGAATATTTATTTAGAAACATACAACCAGCATATATAAATATATACATACTACCTTCCAAAAGTTTGGCATCATTAAGATTTGTTTTAACGAATTGATACATTTATTCATCGAGGATACATTAATCAAAAGTGGCCGATCAAAGGTGACAATAAAGATACTTATAATTTTACAAAATATTTTCTTTTACTTAACATATAATGCTATTCTTTTAAATTTTCTTTTCATCCAAAAATCCTGAAAAAAATGTAGCCAAGTTTTCACGACAATATGAAGCAGCACAACTGTTTTCAACATTGACAATAATGAGAAATGTTTCTTGAGCATCAAATCATCATTTTATAATATTTTTTGAAGGATCAGATGACACTGGAGATTTGCGTAACGGCTGCTGAAAATTCACTCAAAGAAATTTAATTTTAAAATATATTTAAACAGTTATTTTAAATTGTATAATACTTCACAATATTATATTACATTTTTTACTGTGTTTTTTATCAAATAAATGCAGCCTTGGTGAGCATAAGAGAGTTATTTCAAAAAATGAAATAATTAAATAAATAAAAAACAAATAAAAAATGTGTATATGTTATATATTATAGAAATGTCCTTGACTTTCCCTGGCCTGAAAAACACAATTTTGAATATCCCCTGATATTTTCATATTTTCTCTGACTGTGGGAAACTTGGATTTATATTTTGATGTATAGCAAGCATGTATTCAAGAGCACCTTTCCATTTTGTGCAATGCTTGTTTGTGCAACACGTTAACATAGATGTTGAGACAGGTCAGTTCAATCCCATGTTACGCAACTCCAATCAAGACGGATCATGTCAGATCACCGCAAACAAAAAGGAATGAATGAAGATTCATTCCGATTAATCTTACACAACATCCTGCTTTAATACAGGACTGTGCTGCCAACATCTAAACAGCTTTCAGTGCTGCTGGGGCTTCACAGTGAGAATGTGGGGGTCAGTGGTCGAACCACAGTGAGCAGACAAATGCAGACTCTAGACTGTTTCTGTCTCTTCCTCCCTACATGCTCTCTTCCTTGCCCTTTCTTGGCACTCTCGCTTTCACCTTTTTATGCCAGCAGACACAGTCTGTGTGCAGGTTGGCACGCTGTTTGGTTAACGACATTCCTCAAAATATATATTTTTGTGTGCGTGTTGCACAGAAGAAAGTCAGCCATACAGGTTTGGAACAACATGAAAGTGAATATGACAGAATTTTCATTTTTGGGTGACCCTTTAAGAAATTTTTTATTTTTTTTAAATAATGGATAACAAGCATTCCTCATTCAAATAATACACTCATTTTATTATATATAATAGTAAAATAATAATTTTATAGAGATTGCACTCACAAAGAGATTTTTAGCCCCCCAAAAAAACTGCTTCAGAACTGAGCAGAACTACAAAAATGTATAATGACTATATACATTTTCATGATTTGATTAAATAAATGTTTAAAAAATAATACACTCATTTTATTATATATAATAGTAAAATAATAATTTTATAGAGATTGCACTCACAAAGAGATTTTTAGCCCCCCCAAAAAACTGCTTCAGAACTGAGCAGAACTACAAAATGATTTGATTAAATAAATGTTTAAAGGCCTTGGAAATTATATTTTTGAAATTCCCTGATATTTCAGCATAATAGGGAACCTTTTAACACTCTAGCTAGAAACACTATTTCTACCACCTTTTTCTACTCAGATGACATAACTAAATCTGCACATAAAGGGAAAAATAATAATAATAACTGGTATTATCAATCCAGTTGACCAAATGATCCAATCAAATCGAGATAGACAAAATCAGCTTGCATTCTGCATTATTTCCCGCTAATATTTCTGATAATAAGTCATTTTTAATACTTTTTTAAATACTTTTAAATGTTTTAATACTGTTATCTTTTGTTTCAATCATTTAGTTTTATTCTGAAGGTTGTAATACTTTGTGTCTGTGTTTTATTACAATCTGGACATAACTTGCATGCTTCTGCATGATTTATATATTGCAGTCAAAGCAATAAATCCCTCCTAATCCAAATGTTAGTGCTGCAAAATTGAGGAAGGAAAGCAATAGTCGTCACATTTGTCTGTACTTGACTCCACTGTGACAAGAGACAAATTACACTGATGGTTAGTCATTGCTCACAGAGATTTCAGATTTCAGGCCTGAAGGTGCAAGATAAAGAACTTTATTTTCATACAGCCGCCTACATCAGCTTTATCGAAGTATGAGATACTGCTCCAGAGCTCCTGACTTCCTATTAGATCATGTGATGTAACCACAAAGCACAGATATACTGAGCAATTGAGTACTTACCTCGCCCGTGACCACGTATTTGCCATCAGGAGAGAAGGAGACCGTAGTGATGGTTTTCCTGTGAGAGAGTGGACGGAAGTATTTAAGACAATGTTGACGTGTATGCATCCTGCTATTTAAGAGACTTCCTCTCCATCTGGTCACCCATTGCTTATGATGATTATATGTTTGAGCATCCAATACTACGATATTTGCTCAACCAGTGGTATGAGTTTGGGACAGGACTATCTGTTTGGTCAACCAGTGGCATGAGTTTGGGACAGGACTATCTGTTTGGTCAACCAGTGGCATGAGTTTGGGACAGGACTATCTGTTTGGTCAACCAGTGGCATGAGTTTGGGACAGGACTATCTGTTTGGTCAACCAGTGGCATGAGTTTGGG